CACTTGGCAGCCTGACATGCCGTCGCCACATCCAACGTGGAGGCGTATGGGAGATCTCTCCCGTTCTTCCCCTGTTTGTTGCCCAAGCAAATGCAGGAAAAAGAGCAAGAAACGGGTAGAATCTTCCTGTTCATGCAAACCTTTGTATGAAGAACTTGTAGAGAAGGGTCAGGATTAATCACGTCTTAGCCCTGTGAATCAATAGCAGATGACTTGCCCATAACTTAGCTTTTTAAAGAACTGTAGCCAAGATTTCATGTTAACCTCAAGAATGGCATGAGCCAAACTTTCCCTTTGTCTCAAACTCAGTCCCAGTGACTTCTGTGTAATCACTGCGGTGCTTTGAAAGATAGCGTACGCTCCTTTGAAGCCACAGGGTTTCCACGAGATGGAATTATTTGGTGAACAGCAGCACGTCCATAGGAGAATTGCACCGTGCCATAAGGTACAGCGTATAGACTAGAAGTTAAATGCTGATTGCGAACTGGTTAGGACTGCCTAAGGAATTCTCAGTTGGCTTGGCTTTTCATCAGAGCTAACTGGACCAGAACCTGCTGTGTTTTGAAAGTGGGATTTTCAAATTTGCTTTTTTCTCAGTCGATTAGATGTCATCAGTTTAATGTGACAATGTGCATCCTGTTACTGTAGGCAGCTGCCATGAGAGAAAAAGCCAAGAAGGCAAATATGAAGCAGCAGTATTCTTGTGGAGTGCTCGAGAAGTTTGGTGAGAGAACTTTCAAAGCATCGTAAGTTCCAATCAGTTTTTTTTATAAAAAGTAGGTTTGTTAACCTAAACCTGAAAGTACTTACGAGGAAAACATCAGCATATATAATTCACTTCTACATGCTGAGTTTGAAAACTGCACTCACGGTGCTTCCTAGCATACTTTTGGCTGAGGACCGTTGTCCAACAGAATAAAGATCAGTGGGTCAGTCTTTCAACACTAGGCCGACATCGATTTCATAGCCTACTTATTTAAAGGTAGAATTTAATTGTGATCAGGTTTCTGCATAAAGACTGGATGCCAAGGGGAACCTGTGTATTCCAGGCTGATAGCGAGTACTAGTAAAAAGATCAGCCGTGAGAGTTACAGAGAAATGAAATCATCTCTAGAACCAAACCAGGAGGTGCGGAGTGACCTGATGGAGCGTCACTCAGAACCACAGATTCCAGTGTGTCTAATCTACATTTTTGGCAAAGCTGTGCCCTGTTTCAGTGCCTACAGCTCTTAGCGATAGGCGCATCGGTAATCAGCAAAGTAAGTTGCTAGCTTGAACCCTAAAGCAATCAACGAGTCAAATCTGGCAGAATCACGGTTGTTCTCAAAGGCGCATTTTTAAAATTAAGAAATACTTTTGCAATTAATAAGTGGATCACCTGCCTAAGCACAGAGAAGTGCTTTCATTCTGTGGCTAGTCTAATACGCTAACGTTGACTAGGATTACCTTACTAGATACAGTCAGCGTTGATTTAAAGGTTTAATTGGGACTATATACGTCTGTGCTAAGTAACCTAGAGATGCTTTACAGTCACTCAAGAGTGGTGGGGAATTCTAGGGCACAATTCTTACATATACAACTCAGAACAGAAGAATCACAAACTTGTTTCCTTCAGTCTCTTTTAAAAGAGCACTGGGTTACTGGTGCAGGTATCCATGCCCTTTTTGTCTAGCCACCAGAAATTAGATGTGACGAATGAACAGATATTTACTTGAAACAATGCTGATCTACAGTATCATAAGTGTTAGCGACTTGCACGTTTTCTGTTCAATATGGAGCTTTAAAACAAGGGTATTTTTCTTCTTTTCCACCTAGTAAACTTGCTCTCTTGGGCCAGAAATATCCCCAGGCTCCATTCTCAGAACTACTTCACATTGTTCATGATATTAAGGGTATCTACCAAGAGTGCTGTGAAGGGGACATGGTAGAGTGCATGGATGACAGGGTAAGCTAAGTATTTTTCAAAAATGTTTACACACTTGAACAACGTTTAGGAAGTCAAGAGTTTGTGCAGCTATTCATTCACAGTCCAGGGAACTTGTACTCAACACTGCTGGAAGGTTCCTCAGCCACTGAAAAACTCAGGGTCAGCTCAGCTGTTACTGGAACTAGGGTTTGGACCAGTCCCACATCTAGCCCTTTATGATCGTGAGGGCAACGAGCTGTGACTTACAGTATAGCGTGTGCATTTAGTTGAGATCAAAACATTTATCAGGGAGATTGTTTGATGGTATTTACTCATTTCAAATCAATCATAAACAAAGCAAAAGAAAGCAGAGGCAAAAAAGCCACAATTTTTTTTTTTTTGCCGTCCTGTTGTGTGTACCGCCATTAATCTGGCTTTCCTGTAGTACCAATGAACTCTAGAAAGCAGCCTGCATGGGAAGATTAGCAAAACTGTGCAATAGTGACATGATTTAAAAATTGCCTGCCTGGCTGGAACGTAGACACACTTTTTGAACCACCTGGTGTCCAGTGTTGGCTTTACGAAGCTCTGGTGTTTTTCATGTTTTGTCCTCTATCAGAGCTGGGCACCTGACAGAACTGGCAAGATAAATGAGGCATCCTTGTGACAGACTTGACTTTCCTTGGCTTTCCAGAGTTTGTCTTCTCAAAGTTTCTAAGATCAGGGAGGCAAACGCATTCTCCCCCATGCCCGTGAATGTCATGCTCAACACGCACAGGATGTGCCCATCCCTCTGATTATTTCTATTCATATGGAGACAGCATTTCTTTAGGAAAGTGCTAAGTAAATAGGAGACCTGAATGAAAAGGGAAGAGTCTGAGAGACAGAGAGGAGATTAATTAATCTATCTTTAAATTATTATTTCATAGCTTGTCTGATAGTATGTTTTAATTTTACAGGCACAGCTTATTACCCAAATGTGCTCTAAACAAGATGTTTTCTCAAGTAAAATCAAAGATTGCTGTGAGAAGCCACTTGTGGAACGAAGCCAGTGCGTTATGGAGGCAGATTTTGATGACAAGCCTGAAAATCTTCCTTCACTAGTTGAAAAATACATAAAAGATGAGGAAGTGTGTAAAAGCTATGAGGCAGGCCACGACGCATTCTTGTCAGAGTAAGTAGTGCCAACAGTACGCTTGCTTGCATTTGAACGTTCCCGCAAATGATCCTCTGTCTTTTCTGGACTATGGCCTTTTGCAACCCTGGAAAAACTGTCCTCTTGGGTGTTTCAAGTTCATACGGAGAAAAGAGATGACCACATGGAAGCCCAATATCACTAATGTAGCTTCAGGCCTAGTTGAACCCCTAGTTGCTCATTCATCCCTTGTGACCGTTTCTGTTCAACATTGTCCTACTTATCAAAGCTGAATATATCAGTGCCTTTCTTTTGTTCGAGGGCTTTGTGCATGCCCGCAGACATCATCTGCTTAAGAAGGATTCTGTCCCGGGGAACTATTTTGTTCCTCTCACATTTGCCCTGTTGGCAGACAACAGAAAAACTCTACTAAAGCAAGCAAACAGCATTCCAAGCTCATTGTCCACCTTACCTGATCTCATCTGAGGAACTGTCATGGTCAGTTACTGTGTTGTACATGGAGACAGCAGCATGTTATTTGGGAGCTCTAATTCTGTCAGCTTGTGTGTCTTTCAGGTTTATTTATGAATACGCACGAAGACACCCTGAGCTCTCCACGCAGCTGATTCTGAGAATTACCAAGGGATATGAAGCACTCCTGGACAAGTGCTGCAAAACAGACAACCCTGCTGCATGCTACGGAAACGCTGTAGGTGCAAAGCTTTCTTTGCAGATAACTAGAATGCTTGGTCAGTACCTGTCATGAAACAATTGGGTTGAGAAGCTCCTACAGAAGAGCAGACAGAAAGCATTTTGAGAGACTAATCCCAGGGGAAGTTAGTGTTCTGATAGGAAATGAAGCAGTCCAGGGCCCATGACAAGGATACAGAGTTTTCTCAGATCACAGAGTAACTTCACTCGTCACTCTATGGAATTTCAGACTAGTCTCGCATAACTGCCTGATGCATCTGTCTCTCAGTGATTCTGCTTGTCCTAAAAAAGATGATTAATAGCTAGTTAGTTGAATTATGAGCTCTGCTGCCTATACTGAGTATGGCTGCTCGTGGATTACGATGGGAACCTGCACGGCCAGCTAACATAGAGACGCCTAAACTTAGGCCTTCTAATCTTCAACTGAATTGCACACGAGTCACGGCACAAGTTCAGTCACCAGCAGCTTCGGCCAAGGGCCAAGGCCAAGAAAGACCATGTTCCCCTCACGGCTGATAATCCTATACTTGAAAAATATCCACCCAATTTAAACAAACAAACCCCATTGTCTAGAAAGCAAGTCCAATGGGTAATTAGTTTAAATTAAATTTCAAAAATCTTGCTGCCTTTTTAATGGCATTTCTGTTAGAACTTAACACTCACATAAGAATCAAGTCCTCCCTACGCCATCCAGGCTATACGAAGTGATCGGCTTTGCAGAATGGGTATCTTACATATATATACATACAAAATAAGATTTAGAAGAGGTCAAAAGGTATATTTGTGTGGCTGTGACAAGGATGTCCTGCTCTAACGTTACTCATAAATTTGTACTTGTTTGCAGGAAGAGGAATTGAACAAACATATCAAAGAAACTCAGGAGGTTGTAAAGACAAACTGTGAGCTTCTCAATACCCATGGCGAGCAAGACTTTCTTAAAGCGTAAGTACTTTCTGATAAATATTCTCGAGTGTAAACAATGATGCCGGCTGCTTTGGTCAAATCTATTTGGTCTTCACTTCTATTTTCACTTCAGTGGTCTAGCTCAGTTGAGCATTCTGCAAATGTAAGCAAACAGTCATTTTGATATGACTTTTTCAGACTTCTGATCCGCTACACTAAGAAAATGCCTCAGGTATCAACTGAGACCTTGATTGAAATTGGAAAGAGAATGACACACATTGGCACTAAGTGCTGCCACCTTCCTGAAGACAGACGCCTACCTTGTTCTGAGGGAAGCGTGAGTACATTTGTTTATTTGCTCTACTCCTCTTGGAGATTTCTTCTGTTCTCAGAGAAGTTGAATTCTCATGAGAATAGTAAACTCACTATGATTTTTCATCAACCCCAGGCTAAGCATCTACCTAACAGAATTCAAAGTATGTTCATTTTTAATGGACGTGAGAACCTAAACAGTTCTCTGACGGTAGCTTGCGAAAACTTCAGCTAAACTTTGCTCTCCATCAGAAAGCAAAAGTGAGACGATTGGGTCTGCGGCAGCTTGCATTCGGAAAAGCTAAACAGTCTCCTTAAAAAAAAAAAAAAAAAAACACTACCAAAACACAAACCCACTACATACTTGCTGATTGTAGCCTGATGGGCAGACTGTTTGCAGATTAAGAAATGCTCAACTCCAGGAATAAGTATTCGTTTTAAATTTTAAGACCGTGCCATTTCTGAGCAGGTGTTTAGATCCGACACCTTCCACTTCCAGCTATGCTACTGTGTCACAAACATCACATATTTCTTCTGTTGTTGTAGAAGGTGTAACTCATGTTCGTCCTTCTTGTCTTTTCAGCTGAGCATGGTGATTCAGGATATGTGCAAGAGACAGGAGACCACACCTATAAATGACAATGTTTCACACTGCTGCAGCGACTCCTATGCTTACAGGAGACCGTGTTTCACCGCCATGGGAGTAGATACCAAATACGTGCCTCCAGCATTTAATCCTGATATGTTCAGCTTTGATGAAAAATTGTGCACGGCCCCTCCTGCTTAACGGCACTTAGGGCAGATGAAGTAAGCCAAAAGAAATGCCTTGTAGAAAAACTTCTGAAAGCTACAAACCCCCCGTTTTGTCATCCAACGGGCACTTCACTAGCAACAGAGAGTAAACCGGATGAAACTATGTGTTTGTACTGAGCTTGTCAGTGCATAACACCGTGTAGTCTGGAAGAGGCAAAATAGGGTATTTTCTCCAAAGAAAATCCATGTCTTAGCTGACCGGTTTCATGTAAGTCCACCGCCAGTCCAAATCTTAAGATGTACTTAATTAAGATAACATACAGATCATTTCAACAAGTTTTTTCCCACCTGTAACTGGGATAACGAAAAGCAAACAGATGGCTGTGGTAGTCTGGGAGTTTGGAGGCACAGATAGACACAGACTCCTCTAGACATGACCCTCATAAATGAGCTGTGCCTGCATAGAATTGCATATTTTAAATTGGGAAGTCAAACTATAACAGGTAGCATTAACCGTGTATTGTGGCTTTCTTTTCAGATTGCTTGTCAACCTCATTAAACGCAAGCCCACGATGACAGAGGAACAAATAAAGACAATTGCTGATGGTTTCACTGCCATGGTAGAAAAGTGCTGCAAGCAGTCAGACATCGATACATGCTTCGGGGAGGAGGTATTTCTGATGTCCTTTAAAAAGAAACAAACCAAAAAACTCATACAGGAAACTAGAAACTCACTAGGAAACCATGCGCTACGACAGTGGTTCTGCAAGCTGTTACGGTTACTTGTCCATGTGCCCTTACAATTAATTTGCCTGCAGAGCATCACATGTATGTTCAATAGTCCCTGAACAATTTCATGTGGAAAGGTTGCCTGGAGGTAATGTAGTCCAGTCATCTGCTCAAAGCATGGCTAAATTCTAGATTAAATGAGGTTCTTCAGGGCCTTGTGCGGA